ATAATTCTTGTCTAGTATACTAATCTTATAAGGATAGGTCCATGTCTTAAAGTTTATCAAACAAGCTCCAGCCTCAGTCACTCCAAAGGGTGGTGGGACCAAACGTGTCTTGTACAAGCAAGCTCCAGCCTGACCCCACATGGAGGTGGTGGGACCAAACAATCCATTGATGGAGACAACACAGCAACCATGATAGATAGATAGATACTGTGCGCTTTGTCTGTGATTAGGATATCTGGATCTGTGGTAGTGGTTGACGTTGCATTTCGGCGGTTGAGCCTCAATTATGGTCCTAGATTCTTCCTAGCACCAAGTTTGGCGTGTACTTGTGCTCACCAGCTTCGTGTCATGGAGCAAACGTCCTGGCTTCGTGTCATGGATTGATGCTAACTGCTAGCTAGCTGCTCCTCTTTGGAAGCACGGGCCGGGAAGGTAATGGGAATGAAGCAGAACAACCAACTCATACTGATGTGCTGGTATTTCGGATCCTTTCCTTTGAGCCTCGTATCTTGGATTTGTTGGGAACGTACTATTATCTAAGAGTTTGCAAGCATTATCAGCTCACACAGAAAAAAAAAGGAGCACTCTCGGTGCTTGCTCGGCTGGCAATGAGCCTATCAAATCGACACAGTGCGGCCTAAATCGCTGAGGTGGCCATGCTTAGTGGCAGCTACCCTGCAAATGCAGCTTACCGGAGAGCAGAGAGGCAGAGTCACATTGGCCTGACTACAGCAACATGCCGCTTGCCACCAGCAAGGCTGCAAAAACCGATTAGTCTTGTTCTCGAACGAGACGACAGTTAGCCGGCAAATGCAGGTTAACACGTGTGTTAGCGATCGTTCAGGCACCGCACCATCCTTTTCGCCATTGGATCTTGCATTGACCGATGGGGTCGGATCGGAGCCGGTTTGCTGGAACGAAAGCCTGCGGGGAGATGAATCATGGCTGCCTACCTTTTGTGCACCCATCGCCGGTTCGGCATCATCGATGTGGCGGAGCGCAGACCGCAAGAGCAAACGCTGGCGGGCGATGCGACTCCAGACCCAGGGGACACAGTGATGCGCCGAGTAAGATCATGACCGCTAAGGGCACAGCTGAGCCAACTTAAAGGATCTGTTTGGTTTTCAGACACATTTTGACACGCTTAAGGTTAAGGGTTTGCCACACTATGGCTTGCCACGTTCTGTGGTAAAAAATGACTAGCTTTTCTAGACCTAAAGGGTTACTACATGGTCAATTTTCTTGCACAAAAGTACAGCAAGATTAATCTTAATAGCTATTGGCTTGACAGGAACTAAGGCTGTGCTTAGTTGGCAAATTTTTTGGCGAAATGGTACTGTAGCATTTTCGTTATTATTTGGCAATTAGTGTCCAATCATAGTTTAATTAGGCTTAAAAGATTCGTCTCGTGAATTTCGTCTAAATTATGTAATTAGTTTTATTTTTTATTTATATTTAATGCTTCGTGTATGCGTCAAAGAAAAGTTTCACATGTGACGGGAAATTAAAAAAATTTTTGCAAAATGAAATACAACTAAACAGTACCTAGCTACTACGACAACTGAAGAAAAGTTTCACATGTTCTCAAAAGTACATGGATCGAAGCTCTGGGAGCCTACGGCGATGCAATAGCTACGCTATCTAGTACTACCTGGAATCGTCACATCTTATCGTACGTGACTGTCGGATCGGCTACAATTTCGATAGCGCCTCCATGCCTGCGTCTGCGTCTGTGTCTGTGTGCCAGGCCATCATCGTTTCTTCACGATAGTTTCTTCACTTGATTTTTCTGCAGGGCGTGCCGAGACTACCTCATGTCGCATCATGTCGCGCTTCAGAAGCCCGGATGGGAAGGAGATGTACCTGGCCACAGCCTTCACAGAGCTGGCGCGTGCTCCCATTGGTGAAACGCTGCAGCCAGCAGAGCAGTGAGTGAGAGTGAGAGCGCTGCTCAGCGCTGGTAATTTTTGCCAGTATTTAGGCCTAGTTAAGATACCAAAATTTTTGGTAAAATGGTACTGTAGCAGTTTTCGTTGTTATTTGACAATCAGTGTTCAATTATAATCTAATTAGGTTTAAAAGATTTATCTCGTTGATTTCGTCTAAACTGTGTAATTAGTTTTTTTTTATTTATATTTAATGCTTCATGCATACGTCTAAAGATTCGATGTGACGAGAAATTTTAAAAAATTTTGTAAAAATTTTTTGTAACTAAACTGGACCTTAGTAGAGTTGTGATGGCGATAGGCAGCCAAAATAAAGCTGCGGTATTTGCCAAAGCTGTCATACCGTGGCGTCAGATGTTAAGGTCTGGTTTAGTTACAAAAATTTTCATCTCAAACTATCATATCGAATCTTGCAGCATATGTATAGAGTATTAAATATAGACGAAAAAAATTAATTGTACAGTTTGGTGGGAAATCGCGAGACGAATGTTTTAAGACTAATTAGTCCATGATTAGCCATAAGTGCTACAGTAACTAAAATGCGATAATAATGGATTAATTAGGCTTAATAAATTGGTCTCACAGTTTTCAGACGAGCTATATAATTAGTTTTTTTATTAGTATCCAAAAACTCCTTCCGATATCCCGAAATATTCGATGTGACATAAAAAAAATTATTCTACGAACTAAACACAACCTAAACAAGGACGCCTCACTGAAACCATGGAAATGATTCATATCCTAGCAGGTGAAATCATTGTAGGCTTGCCACCTACTCATGCACACGGAACAGACACGGGAATAGCTTGAACTATTTTTTCAGTTAATAAATAGTATTTTTTTTCTTACAATAAATTATTATAAGTACCAGCATAAATTAAATTTAAGCATAAGCAAACGGGATGAATTTCTTTTCCATTAGGGTATGATACAACTCCACTGCACGCATCTCGTCCTTGTCTAATCTAGCCTAACGATAGCAAGCCCATGCTCTCGGTTTGCAATTGGTACCCCAAGTCAACAAATTCAGTACTTACCTCAAATATCTTCAATTCCAATGTTAAGACCTCTGTCATAGTCTTTTTTAAAAGTTTTACATCTCATTAACGCTATCATTAGGTAGATAGATAGACAAGCACACGGACCAGGATATATTGTATTTAAGGAGTGCAAATGCATCCACTCAAAAATCTAAAAATTGATACATTTACTAAAATTCCACCATAAATTGTGGCATATAAGTATATATATGCACATAAAAGACAAGTGTACCTCTTTCTAATTTGTTCTTGGTAGATAGATAGATGGACTTACACGTCACTCTGAATTCATAATTATATATGATATTATCTTTTCACACATCTACGAAAGAGTTTTTTTCACGATATCTAATAAGTGCAAAACATTTGTCTTCGTGCTAAACCACATTACATTGTAAAGAAAATAAACCACGTCGAGTGTCGAGATCGTAGTAACATGTTTCTATGTGTGTTTGTCGTATACTTATAGTTATAGGTATACACAATACGATTGTTTCCTATTTTTTTCCATGTCACAAAAGAGATTTAATAGCTCATACAAATATCTTTGCTAAAACATGCAATATGAAAACCTCTGACCTAAAGTGTTCTCCTTTAGTTTTGCTAGTGTTAGTACCTCATTATTGACGCTATGCTTTTGGAAATAGATATATAGACATATAAAGTAGATCGATCGAGAACTTTATACGTCATTGTGGATTGTTAATTATATATGATACTATCTTTTCACAATACTTATATGTGAAAAGGGATTTTTTTCATGATATCCAACAAATCAAAACATTTCTCTTTTTTGCTAAACCATGTTAGGCGTAACCATATCCGCAAGCAACTGACGTTGATACTGTGACATGTTTTTATGCGTGCTTGTCATAAATGATGAGAAAGACGGACAAATCTTCTATACGGTGTTAGGCGTAAAGAAATAAAGCATCTGTAAGCAACGAACATTGATACTACGATATGTTTTATGTGCGGTTGTCATAAATGATGAGAAGATGTCTTTGATGTTTTTTTTGGGTCAGCTAACTAATTAGGGATAAATATTATTCTAGTTTATTTTTCCCTCACTCAACTTACAACTTAAGTAAAATACCATTCTAGTTCATTTAAGTAAGTTTTTGGTTCAGTCCCAATGACTCAAAGTAATCAGAACTTGCATCCCTTATCTCTGACCGAACAACTAGTTATGCGTAACATGAGTATTGTTTTTCTATCTAACTAAAGGTGTCTTTTTCTACCATATATGCGTAAATGCAAGGCATTTCTCTTTCAATGAGGAATTGGCATTTTCTATTTTGTACTTTTTATACATGAAAATGATATAGGAAGAATAGGATGTTTTATTGAAAGAAAGAAGTGGCAAGAACCACTAAAAAGAAAACTGCCGCTGCGCTGCCAACTCCACTGTATCCGGCTATCCGCCCATTATTATCCACATATGACAGATCACAGGAAGCAGTCTTGAGCTACACTCTTTGTCCATCCTTGACCCATGGGTGGGCCGTGGTCATGGCCATAAGATGTTGAGACCTCAGAGCTCAACCTCCTGCTCTCACACCCTCTCCTACCGGCAAGCACAGGCTTTTCTTTCTCTTTTTCGCTCTTCTTTTCCCCTCACTGTGTGTGTGCAGCACATATAATCCGTTCTCTCTCCCCCGGTTTCTCTTGTCTTCTTGCGGCGATGGACCAAGAAACCTCACGGGAACCCCACCCCTCGAGGACCCGTCCACTGCCGCATTAGTGGGTTCCATTCCATTCGCGATCGCATTGCCCGCCTTTCTTTTGGCCGTCTTGGTTCGTTCTTGATTCTTGGTCGAGGCGGGATTCGGAGAGCCGAGAGCGGTGCCGCGGCGGCGGCGGCGGATGTGTTCTTGGTAAATCTCTGTTCTTGATGAGCTGGGCTTTTGATCTTGGGAAGCGCTAGATTAATCTGTTCTGGTTTTCGTGACTAATTCCTTTCGTCTGGTTGCATTCCTTGATGTTTAGGTTGGAGTAGATTGTTTCCGTCGAGATGGTGGGCGGCGGAGGCCATTCGTCGATGGACCACCCTGACGCCGAAGACCTCGAGCGCGGCGAGCTGCGCCGTGACGCGCCTGAGTTTGCGGACGACGACGACGGGGACGAGGCAGAAACCCAGTACTTCTCGGACGCGGAGGACCGGTCGTGGGCGTCGCACTCGCGCCAGGACTCCACCGCCTACCAGGACTGCATCTCGCCGTGCGCCTCCGCCCGCGCGAGCTCCGTCGACGCCGACGCCGATGGCGAGGCCGCCAGAGAACACTGCAGGAAGTCGTCGTGCGTGTCAGAGGGCTCGCTGGAGGATGTTGACCTGGAGGCCGGACTGAGCGAGATCATCAAGGCCAGTCCTGAGAAGGCCGAACAGAACTGCCGCATTTGCCACCTTGGCCTGGAGAGCACGGCGGCTGAGTCCGGCGCCGGCATCACGCTCGGCTGCTCTTGCAAGGGGGACTTATCCTACGCCCACAAGCAGTGCGCCGACACCTGGTTCAAGATCAGAGGCAACAGGTAAGTCCCAGTCCATTGAACTCTCCGCGATTCAGTCCGATTCGATTAGTTCCTTAACAGCAATGTGCAAACTCTTCATTTTCTTTTCCTTCTAAAATTGCCCTTCTAATTTTTAAGTAGGAGATACACAATGCAGATGTAAGACATTAAACGCACCCTACGAAAGCTACACAGATTTTCAGGGTTTACTAACTGCAGATATAGGTTTTATCTGAAAGGTAATGCATTTGGTGGTGCATGAACACATGATTAAGGAATCTTAGCAGGTGGCGGGTGTTTGGATCCATTGACTAAAATTTAGGAGGTGTTACGTAAGGGTGTCGCATTGGGTGTTCGGATACTAATAAAAAAACAAATTACGGAATCCGTCAGTACTCCACGAGACGAATTTATTAAGCCTAATTAATCCGTCATTAGCACATGTTTACTGTAGAACTACATTGTCAAATCATGGATTAATTAGGCTTAAAAGATTCGTTTTGTAAATTAGTCGCAAGCTGTGCAATTAGTTTTGTAATTAGTCTATATTTAATACTCCATGCATGTGTCCAAATATCCGATGGGACAGCGACTAAAGTCTAGGAGGAGAAACCAAACACCCCCTGGCCAAAGGTAAAGGCAACAGATGGGGAGGAAAAGGCAAAGGAAATGATTAATTAGTAGGTTTGTAGGAATTCCGGAATGTTGAGTTGTTGAAGTGGATAAAGTTAGCATTTGTTCTTTCAGTGTGCTTTCTCACAGATTCAGTGCATTATCTGTTTGCTCTTGGAGTGTGCTGTTTTTTCTTTAAGAGTTTGTAGAGCTTATGGATTGTTGTGTTGACCAAGTCTGTTCTTGATAGATTGCGTGGTCTGATTTGAGTACTTGTGACATAGGGGTACTGTTTTTTTTTTGGTGGCATAGGGGTAGTGTAGTTGTGTCACTTTCCACTACACAAGGTATATGCTTTCATGAAATTGTTGTGGGCAGCAGTCAGCAATCATAAAGTGTTGCACTTAAATCTCATTGATAAGGCCTTGTTTAGATCCAGGGTGTAAAGTTTTGGGGTGTCACATCGGATGTTACATAGGGGTGTCGCATGGGGTGTTCGGATACTAATAAAAAATAAATTACAGAATCCGCCAGTAAACCGTGAGACGAATTTATTAAGCCTAATTAATCCGTCACTACACCATAATGTTTATAGAGAAGAGCGGCTTTCATAATGTATACTCCTATTTAGCAAACATTGGAATTCTCTATTGTTCAGTAGATTGATGGTGCTTTATCGAACTTTGTACCGCAGAAGAAGAATAGGAGTACTTTGCTATCTCTAGTTATTGGAAACAAGAACTGTCACCTTAATCAATATTGGGGCTTAGGAGTCACGAATTGATCACAACAAGGGTTTCCCTTGCAATTCAGTCTGGCTGTTAAATTTCTCTCTACATTACAAATCTTAAAACAGGCAGGATGTGTTTTTTTTTTGTTATTAGTTCAAACTTGTAACACATACTGGTAGTTTTAGTTTGAATCAGCAATCACAATTAAGGAGAGGAACAGTGTTAACAAAAAGAAGTAAATGAACCTTGTGGTAGCTATAGCACTTTTTCATTGTCAACATTTGTTTTTATCACACAATGTCAAATGCGTAGATTTCACTGGAATTATTACCATAAAATCGAATATTCAGGCAAAGAAATGCAACAGTCGGTCTATAATCAACTTCTATATTGAATCTATGTTGAGTTCCTGTGTTTATTGTTCAATGTTTTATGCTATTTTGTCAAAAAAAAATTGTGCTCTGATTTGACCACATGCAAATTAGGCAAACATCCAAATAATGCATGCAGAGATGGCTATGCCTGTTGTTTCGAACATAAAACACTTTAATCGGTGCATCCATTTGGAGAATTGGAGCATAGATCTGTTTCAAAGCAATGTGGCGTAAGCCTTTCTTTCAGAGGAATATCAGCTCTTGTACTTGTTGCCACAGCTGATTATCTATGCTTTTTAATCCTTTGCATGATATGAAGCTAAGGTTTGCTACCTTGTTCTCTTTTGCATGCTTAGAGACATCGATTTATTACCCTTTTGTTGTGAAAAAGAAATTAAAAATGAAGTACCGCTATAGTTCTTATATTTTTTTCTTCGAGGCCAAGTTATCTGCGGTTATGATTTGTATGCGATTTGATACTGTATACGAACTAAATGTCTCTCTTGTTCTTTGCTGTAGGATCTGTGAGATATGTAGCTCAACTGCATCCAACGTCGTAGTTTTGGGGGATCCAGAGTTCAGTGATCAGTGGAGTGAAACAAACAACGTAGCTGCTGTGCAAATGCCACCGGCTGAAACTCGGAGGTTCTGGCAAGGGCATCGGTTTCTCAACTTCCTTCTTGCTTGCATGGTGTTCGCCTTTGTCATTTCTTGGCTCTTCCACTTCAATGTCCCTGGCTAATTAAGTTCTTGACGCACGTGGGCCCTGAATAAAAAGCTCCAAAGCCATTACTCCAAACATGTCGGTAAGATCTAGCAAATCTGAAAGAACAGGCTGGGTTGAAGCAAAAGTTTGAAGATGGTACAAGAAAGAGTACATGGTGGGGATGATGATAGCGCATTTATTTATGATGATGAATGCCTTTGTGTTGGCAAAAAGAGGTAAAGATCAGAGGTGACGATCCCGCAAGAAAAAGGGAACATGATTGAGCGTTTCTCTGCCAATCTAGATGTAGTTGATTGGAATAGAAGGTCTGTGGCTTCGTGGTTGGTGTTTTATCGTCGTGTGCGGAGACGAGGGTTGTTAGTCTACGAGTCATTTTCTAGCTTTCAAGCGGTTTTGTTGTTCTGGCGTGTTGATTTGGTGTGATCATGTGAGGATTCCTCTCTGATCGCGCTTTGTTTCGATGCTTCTAATCCTTGTGAATGGTGAGCTGGTTACTGTCGTTGAGGCATGTCTCTGGAAGTAATAAAAAAAAGGTTGTCAAATGCTCGCGCTTCTGTGTGCAGTATTGCGTTTTTCGTTGATGCTTGCCCGGATGCACTATACTACTGAGGGCTCGTTTAGATTAAAAAATTTTGTAAAATGAGTACGGTAGCTTTTTCGTTGTTATTTGGTAAATAGTGTCCAATCATAGTCTAATTAGTCTTAAAAGATTCGTCTCATGGATTTCGTCTAAATTGTGTAATTAGTTTTATTTTTTATTTATATTTAATGCTTCATGCATACGTTCAAAGATTCGATGTGACGGAGAATGTGAAAAATTTTGCAAAATTTTTTGCAAACTAAACTGGACCTGAGCTTTTCTGTGCACAGCGGATTAGGATGTCTCATCTCTCATGTTTGTCTTGTTAGCCCTTGTTTAGATTCACCTCAACTTCCAAAAAGTTGTTACATTACCTGTCATATCGAATGTTTGACGGCCCGTGCATGGATCATTAAATATAGACGAAAAAAAAAACTAATTGTACAGTTTGGTGGGAAATTGTGAGACGAACGTTTTGAGTCTAATTAATCCATGTTTGAACACTATTTGCCAAATAAAAACGAACGTGCTACAGTAGCCTCAAAATTTAAATTTCTCCAACTAAACAGGGGCTTAGTTTGGTTTCTTTCATGGTGGAAAGTGCAGAGGGTGAGCAGTGACATGATCCAACCTTTCCTTGGGTGAGCTCGATCTGCCTCAGAATTCTGGGAGCCTGCAGTTATCAGCGTCGTAGAGAGGCAGAGGAACACAATAAATGCTTCACGGGATACGTTCCTGCTTGCGGGCCCGATTATAAATGCACGATCGGGTAAACGCGGCTTGCAGGTGCAATTACGTGCATGTTTCAAAAAAAATAAAAAAAGGGTGCAATTACGTGCGCAAGGACGTGTTTGAATTTCAAGTGTAGTAACATTGAGAGGGGACTACCGTGTGCACTGTAGCGCAATGAGTTTTTGTTCAGGGCTGCAGGGATTCGGATCCTATCTAGTAGTACAGCGGTCCGTGTGGTTACTGGAAAAGTTCACAAATCACAACGTAACTGCGCCCGTGATTCTCTGGGCGCGTTTAGTTGCCCTTAAAGTTGGCGCCGCCTGAAATCCTTGAGAGCATTAGCTTTCTTCTGTAGTTTCCGTGATTCTCTGGGCACGTTTAGTTGCCCCCAAAGTTGGCGCCGCCTTCCGTGATTCTCTAGGCGCGTTTAGTTGCCCTCAAAGTTGGCGCCGCCTGAAATCCTTGAGAGCATTAGCTTTCTTCTGTAGTTTCCGTGATTCTCTGGGCGCGTTTAGTTGTCCCCAAAGTTGGCGCCGCCTGAAATCCTGTAGGCACTGTAGCACAATGTAGCATTTTGTTTGTATTTGGTAATAATTGTCCAATCGTTGACTAATTAGGCTCAAAACGTTCGTCTCGCAAAGTACAACCAAACTGTGCAATTAGTTTTTGATTTTGTCAACATTTAGTACTCCATGCATGTACCGTAAGTTTGATGTGACAGAAAATCTTCTTTTTGCATAGTGCCAAAGTTTAGATTCTGGGCGAACTAAACATGTCATCTGTTTGATTTTCCCAACGAAAAGGTGGTCCTGTCTAGCCTCTTCCTTTTGGATCAAGGATGATGAAGACGTGCACATGACCGCACCCATATGGCCATATATCTAAGTTTGAGGGTGCTGCTCTCTTTATGTCTTGGCACATAAGAGACACACACTATATATATATATATATATATATATATATATATATATATATATATATATATATATATATATATATATATATATATATATATATATACGCGCGCGCCCATCTAGTCCAGCCACTTCAAGCCGCTGAGGCCGCCTCGCCACTACACACCACCTGTCCGCACGCTGCACACTCCAAAGAAACCGCCTCCACTCCCTCTTCGCTTCCGTTGCTCTTTTTTTCCTCGCGAGGAACTGCTGTCGCTCCATGCTGTGTCAGCCCATCCCGCCGAGAAAAACCACCCCCATTGCTCGCGCCGAGAAAACCGCCCCACTCGCCCTTCATTTTTGTCGCTGCTCCCCCACCCCTGTACTCCCCCACACCCTGCATTGTGTCCATTTGCCGCTTCAGCGTCTTTGCGGTTTTCCGCTCTCCATTTGCCGCTCTTGGATTTCGGACCTAGGGTTCGAAAGTCCGCCGTGTTGAGGCGCCAAATTGAATCCGCCGCTTTTTATCCCGATGTAAGTCATCCCCATTCCCTATCCCTACTTAATTTTGAATTGAATTCGTTTTAACTGGCTATTACGCTGCTTGTAATCGGCTTTTTATGGTTTGTTTGCAATTTAGAGGATCCATGGGGCAATTGCAATTGTAACCATATTAGTACTTAATTTTGTAATTTTTATGATGACTTGTGTAACTAGCCTATTTGTCCTTATGTTTGCAAATCTGGTAGGGTGTTGTAGTTGTAAATGGTCGACAATTTCATCTGAAATTCAACCGATTTTGTAATCAATTCTTTAAACTCACTTAATCTGAAGGTGCATCTCTAGTGTTTTATCGGTTGCAATTGGTTGACAATGCTGGTTTGTTCATTTCTGGGTTCTAATATGTAGAGGATACTGTTCGATTTTTGTTTTGTTTTGATCTATGGCTCATGGGCTCAAAATGACACCATTTTTTCATGGGTTCTAATATATGCATGAATTGGGACTTTTTTGTTTTCGATAACCTTATAAGTGTTGATGGACATAGTACATATGTCGGACTCAAAACCTTTCATGTTTTGCTCTTGATGACTTGTGTAACTAGCTTCTAACCTTAGTTGTAACTGGGAGGATGTTCTAGTTGTAATTTGTTGACAACTCATCTGAAACTAAACTGAAATTGTAATTGTTGCTACATCCGGCTTTTTCAATCTTTTTTGAAGGTGCAAGTGTAGTGTTTTATTGGTTGCAAATGGTTAACAGTGCAATTTTATGTTTTATTCTCTCTTTTTTTGTGCAACTGGCTTTTTTTCTGATGTGTATTTTTTTCAATGGCAGTGGTTATAATGAATTCAGAAGGGAATGTATCAGGTTCCCAGGGCAGTGACCCTCCCCGACGTTCCTCCCGTGTTGCTTCGCATGAGCAGAATGTATCAGGTGCTCAGGGCAGTGACCCCCCCCCTGGCGTTCCCCCCGTTTTGCTCCGCCGGAGCCGAAAAGGCTGAATGTATACAAGTCGAAGGGCAGGAAGAAGATATTAAGGCTCCCCGGTCCACCCCGACCTGATGTTGAGAGTGAAGTGCATGAACGACAGGAAAGAGAGCAAGATCCAGATTTTGATCCTAGCACTAATGGTGACGCAGGGAGTGAACAACATGGAGAGGATGATGCCGAGGCTGGCGGCGATGGTGACACTAGTGCTGATGGTGATGGGGATGCAGTGAATGTAGCCAATAAGAAGAGGCCCCGCAAGCAGCCTCCTGCAATTCGTTGCTCTCCTTCAAAATTTCATGAACTTCTCAAAGCTCTCCCTGCTAACCTCGAAGATATAGTAAAGGCAAGGGGTTTTGGTGGATTGTTGGGATTCAAACCAACCTGCCTAGATAGGAAGTTGCTCGCCTGGCTTATGTTGAGGCTTAACCCAGAAACAATGAAATTAGAGCTTGGTGGTGGTAAAGTGATTGATGTTAATGAGCACATTGTTTGGTGTCTGTTCCAGATACCCAAAGTTGGCGGTGACCCACCTTATATGTCTGACGCTGAAGCTCGTGTTAGACAGAATGAGTTGGGAGAACAAATCTGTCTCAGTACATACAAAAGGTTGGGTTTCAGGATTGCGGATATTGTGGATGGACTGAAGAGCAAGAAGCTCACGGGGGATTTGGGTCTCAGGGCATTTTTATGGCTGTATTCTAGTCCCTACTTTTCTCAAACACTGATAGTTGCATCAGGCTTGAGGATGTTATATATACTGAAGATCTGGACAACATTGGCAAGATTAATTGGTGCAAAGCAGTAGTGGACAACCTTAGCAAAGCTGCACGTTTGTATAAAAAGGATTTCGCGGTGAAGGGCGTCCATGCACCTCTCACAGGATGCGGTATTTTTCTTATGGTAAGTTTTTGTTGCATTTACTGGCTTTTGTGACACTAGTAGTCTTTCCATGGTTGTGTAGTAGTTTCTCCAAAAAACACACATTTTGTTCATGGCAAGAGTTGCAAATGGGGTCATGGCACAGTAGTAATTGTGTTGTAGTTTTGTTGCAATTGGGTCATGTTTCCAGTAGCAATTGGTCTCCTGTTGATCTTTTCTTATCTAGCATTCTTTATATTTTTTACTTGTAATTTTCTGCAGTAGTTTTTGTTGCATTTACTGGCTTGTTACACTAGTAGTATTTTTTTTCCGGGTCAGCATTTAGTTTCTCAAGAGTTGCTAGTGGGGTCATGGGCACCATAACAACTGTGTAGTAGTTTTTGTTGCAATTGGATCATGTCTCCAGTAGCATTTGGTCTACTGTTGTTTTATTT